GAAATAGTGGCAGCATGTTTAAGTGGATATGAATGGAACGTTTGAGAGGGACAGTCAATCAGGTGTATGCGTAGAGAGTAACAGAGGAAAAGGGAAAGAGAATGAGCTGTACACAAAAGATAGGAAGGCTTAAGGAAGGCATAACACATGATTATTTTGCTAGTATGGCAGTAATATCAATGGCAGAAATAGTGGCAGCATGTTTAAGTGGATATGAATGGAACGTTTGAGAGGGACAGTCAATCAGGTGTATGCGTAGAGAGTAACAGAGGAAAAGGGAAAGAGAATGAGCTGTACACAAAAGATAGGAAGGCTGAAGGAGTAAGATAGGAAGGCTGAAGGAGTAAGATAGGAAGGCTGAAGGAGTAGGAATATCTCATTCAAATGACCAGGTGAAGTGAAAAAGACTTGGCTGTGGCCGATAACAGCAACTATGAAAGCTATAGACCTAACTTGTAACACGTTCCTCTCTCTTTCATAACATCAAATTAGAATAGCAGCATCGATGGTGACAACGACGACTATTTCAATGGAAACTCTTCTTGACATGGCAGTGTTTTCTTCCCTTGTCTTCCCTTCCTTTTTTCTTTTCTTGCTTCTCTTCTCTTTCTTTCTTTTCCCTTCCTCCTCCTTCCTGCCATTGAGTCTACGTGCCCTCCTTGGATTGATCTGATGAACCGGTGTCCTGTCATGTCAACACCGGTCGCCGATGATATCTGCAGAATTCAAGCATCATAGGTTTTACCTTTAAATTACTTATGCCTAGTGTATGACAATGTGAAAGGTGACTAACGTGAAACTAATATACAAAATAGAATGCAGTTTTACACTGAACTGATTGAGAGGTATGTTAACAAGGTCCATTGGTATGAATGGGTGGAAATGAAAAAAATGTTTCTTCGTGCTATGGCTATCTCCTTATATGCATCTGTGGCTATTCAAATATTCACCTTTCTTTGGAGGCACAAGAGGAATATACATAAGATGAAATTTTTTTGAGTAGCTATATAGTATTACGTGCTGCAGGACTTCTACAAATTTAGCAAGTAGTTGCTGTGTAAGAAGAAGTTTGATTATCATTCATGAGGTTACCCAGAATGCAACAGGTTGGTCAAATTTGGCTTGGAAAAGTGCATAAGTTCTTTGAAAAAGGTGCTTCTGACTGGTAGAACTTCCAGCAAAATGAAGTTATGTTAAAGCTAAAGATGGAAAATGCCAGCAAGGTGAAAGTAAGTATGGTATTGTATAGAGACATTCAGGATCTTTGAGAACCGGAACAGGTTTCCTAGAAGATGCCTGGTCAAAGTATGGTGATGATAATACGAACATCCCAGCTTTGTGAGAAAATAGAAATTGGTAGATGTCCTCTTGTTTGACTTTCAGTTGAGATCAAAAGCAGAGAAGATTAAACTTCAAAGTGGGGTAGCGGCATCAAGAGAGCACACATTGCCTTTGGACTGATGCTCCCAGTTATAGGAACACATGCCTGGACCAGGGTCTTGGGGCTGCCACTCCATCTCTGGTTAGACAAGGTTTCTAGCAATTTGGACTCTTCTGGTAGATTTCTGAACCAATGATATACAAAAAATGGGTTGCGTCTAAGGTGGCTGAGGATACGCATAGTGGAACGATAATTGGACCCAGCTAGAGTCGAATTAACAGTTGGGGATTTTGACATAAGAGGTGCCTATCTGGCCTGAACCAAAGCAGGTGAGTTATGGTCACAAACATGGTAGAATGGTGTGAGTTCCGGCATTGATAATGTCAACCCTTTCATCCATCTGGTATGCGAAGGGTCCATCGGGTATGCGAATGGGAGCCACGTGCTTGTTAGATCACCAGTTATGTTTAAATCAACCATGTCACCATGTTTATCTGATGGAATTCTTATCATGATAGGAATTCATGCGCCTCGTGATTAGTAGCTATATAAAGTTTGGGACCCAGTTGATTTTTGTGGCATAATGGTGTTTAATTAGAACAATTAAACTGTTTCATGGCTAACAATTAATATCTTGTTTCATTTAGGAAATTTAGTGGCTTCTGTTGATCTGGAGCTGGACTTTTGTTTATATTTTTCCATTTTAGTATCGTGGGGTTTGTAGAGATAACTCGGTATATCTAAGGAGTAATGATGGAGTTAGTTGGGTAGTTCAAATTACTAGTATTTGGGATTTTTTATTATAGGAATCTATTATTTGCTCTCACATTTTAGCTCCTTTGGCTGGAAGCTACAAGAATAAAAAGAATTTTACTCCTCGTTTGCCTTCTTCTTAATAATAATCACATGAAAAGTGAGATGCATGTGCTGAATACTTGTTGTCTCAAATGTGGTTATGAGGCCTACTATGAATGCAGATCATGTGCCCCGTGATCGGATGATCATTTCTAGGGTGGATGGGTCTGAACGCTATTTGCATCTTCTATTTCATGTGGTCATATATGATATAATCTAATCTTGTGTCATCATGCATCCATCTTAACATTAATTTCTACAATACTCACCTTGTAGTAAGTGATGGCCATTAGTGGTGAGAAACACACTCCCATATAGTATTGGTAGTCTCCTCTATGTAGAGCTTGCCTCTCAATTGGAGAGGTATTTTCATATCCTATATCATCCCTATAGCATTTTCTCAATTTTGGTCACACTATTTTCAGTTATATATGTTACATATTCTTCTATCTTTTGAAATGCAGAGTCTAGATATTTGAATTGTCTTCGATTAGACATCTAGTCCTGTCTAATTGCACTTTTGACTCATCCTATACATACATAAAGCTAGAAGATATAGCACTGTAGTCTTGTTAGTTCACCGATCTACATGCATCATCAGACCATTTATTAATTGGTTATTCCTTGTGCTTGTACATTTCTTGGATATGTCCTATATCTCTTCTTCAATGTATAAAATTGCGCGACATAACGTTCTTAACCTAACCTCCTTATTATGTTATACAGGTGAATGTCACGGCAGATCACCGGATTATTTATGGTGCTGACTTGGCAGCCTTCCTTCAAACGTTCTCAAAGATTGTCGAGAACCCAGAGAGCTTGACAATGTAGATGCTTTCGATAGCTTCTCACCGTTTTCTGCTATGTTGTACTAAAACATTCCTGTAGTGCAGAGAGATTATATTGCATTCTTGAAATTTTTTGGAATGAAACAATAATATTTTTGCTGATTTTTTGGATACTTTTGCCTTTTGCAAATTCTAAATATTAAACATGTTTAATGACTTATCAAACCAGTAACAGTAGTGGGGTTAGATTTAACCTCATTAGTTTATCGAGTTGGCAGGTGACAAAAACTGTTGTTCATATTTTGAAATTGTAAGTATTGACGAAAACTAATAGTCATTCAAGGATTGATTTATTCAAGTGAATGGAACAGGCAATGAAATGTATAAAAATAAATCCCATTCAGGTGGAAAGATATAAGGTCAAATGCAAAGATTCCTTAGTTAATCTACAGTGTCCCAATCAGCGCGGTATCTGGAAAGACTACTTGATGGCCTTTGTACAATGAATGGATTCATGAAATTCTTCATGTGGTAGACATTGCAGGCAGTCAAAAATGTAAAAGCACAAGCACAAAGGAGACAGACATGCATGAATGTCATAGAGGTAAGAGCACAGCTACAGATGGATTATATCTGAACTTTCATAACTAAATAAGTTAAGAAGATAACAAAGATGCTTAGGACAGATCTTTTGACTTGCTAATTTGGTTTCACATCCAATATCCACCAAATGCCAATTGGCTTAATACATAAAATCCTCCATAAACTTGGCTCAGTTAGCAACTTACACACAAACTATATGTCTGTTACGCCCCTACTACAATTTTCGGTGTCTATTACCAATTTACCATCATATTGTATCTTCAAGACTGTAACTTCTCGGAGAGACTTGAAATTAGGGTTCCGAAGCTCTTGATAGATCTACAATGCAAGAAAAGGACTGAAATAATTAGCAACAACACATGAACACTTATCCTCCTCTACATTTGCACAAGAATCTTCCTTCCCATAAGGAATCTCTCTTTCTCTCTCTTTATATATATATAAAGTAGGGAATGAAAAAGTTTACGTGACACTTCTCTTTGGCCTTCATTCACATTTATATTTTTTCTGGATTTTTTTCCACCTCATTTTAATATAACTAGTCTCTCTATACGTGAGTTGCACGTGAATTCCATATTATTTTTTAGACTATATATATACACACACACACTAAAATTGCTTAATGCATATATATTTGAAAATATTTAATTTAATTATAAATTATAAATTTAAATGTACCAAAAGCTAGCATTCTCTTGTAATGTTAAAAATGAAAATAAAAAAAAAATTACCAATTCGAATTAGAGAGTAGTTTCTTCCTAACTAACTAACTAACTAACTATATATATATATATATATATATATATATATATATATATATATATATATATATATATATCAAATCACTCTTAGAATGCCAAGTTGCACGACCAAAAATTAACAAGTGTCAAATTTTAGGACAAATCTCCAAAAAAAAGTTCAAAAAATTTAAACCTTCCAATTCAGTTTACATCAACATTGAGTTCCACGTTTGTTGGGCTATTTTTTCTTGATTTGTTAAGAGTTTTTTACATAGCTGTACAAAATTAGAATCTTTATTACCAAAAATGTCCATATTTACGAAATTACCCGACCTACCTAAGCTTTGTCTACAAAATATATACATTTATTTAAACTAGAATCCTTTCTGCAGTAGCCTTCCTTTTTTTTAGATGCGGGAATTTGGGATCACGGAGGATTCTTCGGATATTTTACAGACGCAATCTTCGCAATATAATTAAGCCTGCTATTACGCCTATTTTCTGTCACTAACATCGCACAATCAAGTTTAGTTCTCTGTTTTTTCTGTCTCCTCTCGTTTCAAAACCATAAGCGAAGGTTTAGAAAAAAAATTGCCAACAATTATCCTGAATTGTATTGAATTCCGCGATATAATGTCAAATTTAGCTATTATGCTTCAGCTAAATGGTCATTGGGATAGCATTGGGAGATACAATGATTTTAATGTTGATGGAATTGTTGTTTGCGAGGATTCAAATTATAGTCAATTGATTTCTACTATTGCAGAGCATTTAATGATCGATACGTCCAAAAAAATCATCAAAATCAAATACACTGTCAATGAACGTTGTCCTCCAATGAAATTAGGAACGATATGGGAGTTCGAGTATACATGGAGACGAAAAAGGAAAACCTAAGCTTAGGAATGTATCCGCTGTGTATAATAGTGCGTGATTTCCATTTGGATTGCAGTATCTCTAGTTCGAGCACAATTGCAGGTTTGCTCTGTATTTCTAGTGGTGATATTTTGTCAGTTCCATGTTTTATACAATTATTCCACACAATATCTACAATTATACTACATAACAAATGTAGTTCAACTATTAGGACTATTGAAGTACTCAATTTCAATTGTTCAATTTTACTACAAATTAGCTACAATATATTTCCTGAATTGTATATACTTTTAATTGAGTGCAGGTTCATCTGGAACAATGAAGTTGATTGATAGGCCAACATCTCCGAAGATTGTGGAATATGAAAGTATCATCATAACAGAACATACGCCAGTTGTTATTGAAGTAGGCCAAGTTTACAAAGATAAGCAAAAAATTATCAATGCAATGAAGCACTATTCTGTCATGAATAAGTTCCAATTTAGGGTGAAGAGGTCTAGCGCAAGAAGGTATGAACAGTTCAATTGTCAAATTCATATCTTTGTTTAATTTGTAGTATTTATGTTTTTTGCCATGTACAATTTGTACTTTCTTTGTATATAAATTGTACATAATTTGTAGTTTTTTTATTGTAAATAACTTGTTTAATACAAGATTTTTTTTTTGCTTAAACAGCCTATTATTTTGTAGATACATTTTTCATACCAATTTTTAAATTGCTTTTATTATGTAGCTACTGCCTGGTATGTGTTGGGGATAATTGTACATGGCACTTCAAGTCCACCAGCATAAATCAATCAGCACTGTTCAAGGTTCGAAAATTTTACAGCTTGCGCACATGCTCTTTTATGGACAACACATACATACAACGCAAACCTACTGCCATGGCAGTTGGCAGCATGGTGATGCCAAAATATGTGGATCCTAAGACAATATACACACCAAAAGATATACAAACTGACATGTTGTCGGATCATGGTGTGAACTTAACATACATGCAAGCTTGGAGAGCAAAGGAAAAGGCTTTGGAATTTTTGAGAGGTCATCCTGCTCATTCCTACAGTCGCTTGCCAAGTTATTTGTATATTCTGGAGAAGACTTATCCGGGGACTGTAGTTAAATTGAAGAAGACTGAAGATGACTGTTTCTTGTACGCATTTGTTGCGCTTAGTACGTCCATCATGGGTTGGGAGTATTGTAGACCAGTTGTTGTAGTTGATGGCACCTTCTTGAAGTCGGCATATAGGGGAATAATGTTAACAACTAGCACAATGGATGCAACAGGTATTGTAGATTAATTGTAGAAATATCATTGAAAATTTGTTTTTAGTATGTTATTTTTGTACTATCAAGTTTTATTACAGAAATTGATTTTCTTTTTTCCACCTATATGATAGGTAGCATATTACCACTCGGATATGCTGTTGTTGATTCAGAAAATGATGTAGCATGGAATTGGTTTTTTGAGCAATTCAAACATGCGTATGGTGAAAAACAAAACATGTGTGTTGTTTCGGATCGGAATGAGAGTATCTTGAAGGCAACATCTACTGTTTATACTGGCATGCCATATTATGCTTGCATGTGGCATATTTGAACAAATGTAAGGTCAAAGTTCAAGAAAGGTCATCTAAAGTTAAGCGAATTGTACTTTGCCACGGCACGATCATACACAATTGATGAATTTAATGAAAGAATGTCAAAGATTGAAGAGGTCGACACACGTGTTAAAGTATACCTATACGATATTGGCTATCACAGATGATCTCGGGTACATGCTACGGTGAACAGAACGTGGACGATGACATCAAACATTGCAGAGTCATTGAATGCGGTAACAAAAGATGCAAGAGAGCTGCCCGTAGTAGAACTATTAGAGTACATGAGGACTCTTCTTGAAAGTTGGAATAATGAAAAGTTATCGAAAGCAAAGGGTACATTCACATACCTTGGGAAACATTATAACAAAGAGTTGGAGGACAACATGACATTATCACAGAAGATGAGAGTAAGCTATAACAATTAACATCAGATCAATGATTCCATCAAACTACATATATACTGCTAATTGTAGATAACTTGTTGTAAAATTGTAGTTATTTGAACATGTTGATGAAAATTTGTTGTGTGTTTGTAATGAAAATGTAGGTGACGGCTTCCACATAACACATCCATACAGTGATAGACAGTGTGAAGCGATTTATTGTTTGCCTTGAAAACAAGAGATGTAGTTGTGGATAGTTCCAACTTGACGAACATCCTTGTCCACATGCTTTGGCGGCCTTGAGGCACAGGGATGAGTCTTATGAAAACTATTGTTCTCCTTATTGCACGAGGGAGAGTCTTTTGAAGACTTATGAAATACCAGTAGACCCGCTGCCTGACGAAAGCAAATGGAATGTGCCACAACATGTAGCTGAAGAAGTTGTAAAGCCACGAACTGGGAAAAGACAACGAGTGAGACCTCAGAAACAAAGCTACAAACCATATGATGAAGTAAAAGCAAAAAAGTACACGATTTTATGTGGAAACTGCAGGCTAGAAGGGCATAACAAAAGATCTTGTAAAAATGCTCCCAAAACGAAATAAAAATTGATAAAGTAACTATAATTTTTTGATAGATTGTGTTGAGGTGTTCTGGAGAATTATAGTTGAGTTGTAATTGTGTTGATAAATTGAATATAGACTGTCTCCTATAATGAAATGTTTTCAACTCTTAATGCAATTGGCTTGTAGTTTTTTTGTCCAACTACATTTCTTCAGCCAAACAACCTTAGGGTGGATCATCATAGCAACATTAAGAGAATGGGAACGACATTCCCAGTTTTCACGAACTCACATGTAAGATCAGCAGGTGTTGCAGCACTCTTAGACAGACTAATTAGATGAGGAACATCTGCAAATTCGAACTCTAGGAACATCAATATCTCCCCAGCCCACTGCCTTAATACATAATGATACCTCATAATTGTAGTTATGTTGTAAAGAAATTATATGCTAAAAATAATGAAACAAAAGGTAACAACACAAAAAAATAGTAAAATCAAGTACTAACAACTTTGAACCAAAAAAGGCTCTCCATAGTGTTTTCGATTCTAAGTAGCAGTTTCCTGGACAAAATAACAAAACAAAAGGTAAAAAAATTGTAGCACAAGTCTGCTACAAATAAGTTTCAACTGACTTGTTCTTAGTTAACAATTTTTCTACAACTTTACTACAAACCAGCTACACTAAATAATTTAACTATAACTTTTCTACGTAAAAGGGCAACTAATTCTTCTTCTTCTTCCGGACTTGTGTTCTCTCGTTCACAGCTGGTGCACCTTTTCTTCTCACTAATCTGCCAGTCACCTCACTCTCACTAATTTCCCCAATCTCTTGCTTTTTCCTAGCATAATCCAAAATAGCGCTCCATAGCGTCTACGGTGTTGATCAATATCAGAAAAGTCTTCCTTTGAAATCATAGCTCTCCAATGCTGACACATTCAGCAAATGTCGCAACGTATACACCACAATCACTGCAAAAAAAATTAGGGGAAAAGATTTAGCATTCAGTGTAAAATAAAATCTGTTAAATAAATACAAGGAAAAACAGACTTTTCATACAGTGATCCCTCTTTTTGCTGGGGTATCTCACCGACCAACCACCGAATGTCAAGAGGGTCAGTAACACCTTTTTTAATGTATGCCTTTGTGTTCTTGAGTTGATGCTGAAAGCTTGCCATAGAAGCCGGTGCATGACAAGTAGAGGGGGATCATAACAGCAAACTTGTTGATAACAGTTTCAACAAGGCTGTGATTGTGTGAAGATACCATAGAATCATAAACATATAGAACCCTATCGGTAATGTCAAACACAACCAACAACCAACGAAAATTTTCCACAATGTTTATGGGCATGATTATAGGCTATAATTGCGTATTTTAGTCGATTATTACACTCTAATTTACTGCACTTTAGTTGAGTTTGCGTTTTAATCACTAGTGTTTTGCACTAACGGTGTGTTTTATGCCTTGTAGGAGTGATTCCGAGCTATATAGATGTTATGGAATGAATTCAAGTGATTTGGAGCTTTGAAGTCTGAGTAAAAGCGTAAGGAATTAAGCCGGGATCGTATTCGGGGATCAACGGATGATAGAGCAACAAAACGAAGAATCGAGTAGGCATATTGTGCACTGTCTAGTAAAATACACATAACTTTTTGCTCAGAACTCCATTTGGGCTCCACAATATGTGGTTAGAAAGCTAACTCAAAGGGATACAACTTTCATGTTTTACGTTTTTTCAAATTCCAAACGAAACAGGGTGAAAAACGCGGCCGAAACCGCGACCGTGGAGCTGAGGCGGGCTGAGGCAGTATACCTGCCATATACCGCGGTTGTACCGCGGTTGACCACGGCCGCGGCAGTCCAGACGTGAAATATTGTCCTTTTTCGCGTAGGAGAAGGTATAATTGTTTGGGCCCGACCCTACTTGGTATATATACATGAAAAAATGGTATTTTTGAAGGTTGGACACACTTTTGACATAATTTAGACCTAAGGAGGCTAAGGAGACCGGGGATTCGACCTAAGGAGTCAAGAACACACTGGGAGCAAGGCGGAGAATTCTTCAACGAGTTTTTCCTTCCTCTTCCTATTTTTCGTCGTTGGTTAAGACTTTTAGTATTGTAGTTTTACATACTATTATGAATAACTAATTTGTTATCTAGGGTTTTGATGAACCTTTTGTAGGATAAATTCTTGTTATGTTTTTATATAATTGAGCCGTTGGATTTCTCTACTTGTTCAACTACGTGTTTATTGTTGTTGATTAAATGGCCATCAATTGACTGTGCCTATTTATTATGTGTTGCTTGAGAAAGGATACATATTTAGGTAGTTGTTGAACAACATCATTCCTAACGTATGTGAGAGATAATGGAGGGTTTAAAGGCGGGATTAGAGATAACGAAACCTTGGTGCGATCGTAGTGAGCAGTGAATTAATGTCAGCTAGTGTAGTTCGAGAGAATACATCTAGTAAATTATGGTAGTTGCTCGAGAGAGAATTACGACAACCAAAGTACTCACAATCGGTAGAGAATACATTGGCGAAATTGTAGGAAACATAGCTAGAAGGATTCCGACAATTGGGGAAATCATAACTCTAGACCTCCTTAATTTAGTCTCCAACTCTTTGTCTCATTAGTTGATAATTTTATCGCTTTGTAGTATTTGCTAGTTAATTAGTTAGAAATATAAATCTCAATCTTTATAATTTAGAAAATTGTTCAAACTTATCTTCTCAGTGATATTAAACAGGTATAGCTAAGTCTTAGTTCTCTGTGGGATTCGACTCCGTACTTTTAGACCGGACTATATTTGCAGCGACCGCTTATCCTTTTTATGACTAGAGTTGGGCGTGATCAAATTTTGGAATGACAAAATCAACTTGATCCCATGTAACATTTGCAAGTATCCTGTACCCCAATATGTATTCTGATACGACGTCCTGGGGTTTGACAACAGCAAGCTTCTTATCGGCAGGAGAATTAATGTACCTTTGATAAATTTGTTTGATTCTAGTCTTGAACATACAGTCAGTGGTTGTAAACTGTGTTTTGTTTTGAGGACCATACTTTCCTCTCTTCCTCAAATAGTATAAAATAACATCAATGTGCTGCAAAATAAAAAACATAGTTCATTATTTCACACTACTTCATACAAATTAACTATTATTTTTAAACAAAAAAACTACAATATTCTTATATAATATAATACTACAGCTAATCATTAAATTCTGCCAGGGTATGTGTTTACCGTGTCGTTGAGGACTTGTTCGGGATGTGCCAAAGTATAAAACCACTCCTTTTTATCAACTTTCCCCGCTCCAAGATCATACCACGGCTTAAGGTGGTTATCTTTTACAAAATAAGGCGCCTTCCTCCTATTTAAACACATAGCAATTACAATAAATATGTAGATTCAAGTGGAAATCCAAAAATTGAATGCACTCGAAAATATGAAATTTTTTATAATCTAACCTCTTTGAAACTGTATCGGTACCAAAGTATAACCACTTATTGAATTTTTCCAACAAGTCAGGATCGACATCGTTGCCAATAACCCTAGTAAATGGATGCTTGATGAGGAAAATTGGAGGTCCAACAGAAGTGCTTCCCCCAGAACTGTACAAAGGGAGAAAGGGGGATCTGGAATGCTTTCCAGGCTGCCTTGTTCTTCCTTGATGCATAGGGGTTGTTTCATCTTCGATAGGCTCGCCGAACTTAACAATCTGCGAGAAGTTCTCTGGCAGTTCAAAATCATCAAGTTACTTCCCTTTTTTCAGATCTGCAGTCGTCTGAATCACCTACATTAATGTAGTCAGCCGGTTCACCTTCAAAATTTTAAAAGAAATGGATAAGAAGACATGTTGCATCAGTTGTTTATTGAAAGTTGAAACAAATTGTCAAAACCTGTTTTTTTTTCTTCTAAAATTATAATGTAACATATAATACCACTGAAATATTCATAGCAATCGTCTCCCTGTTGTATACGTTTTCTTGTTGAATGGGAGATTGCATTTTTGTAGTCTCCTTCTCCTCATCAAATGCCCCTTCAAATTGGGAAGACAAATTAACACCTACAGGAACATTCTCCTCAATTTGAATGTCATTCCGGTGTCCTGTATCTAAGAAAACCATTGGAAATATAATGTAGATTAGTTTTTAGTAATTTCGGATATATGTATATATAATATAGATATAATGTAGGGATAATGTAGATACCTGTTTTACTACTTCTGGCCAACACTGGTTTAGCACTACTGCCCGGAATGTGTTGATTGTTCTGTTCTTTGCAATGCTCATCATTTTTCGTAGAACTACGAGTAAACTACAAGCATAATTTGTTAGACTATATACTTTATGAATGATAATAGAAACTTAGAAATTGTAAAAAATGTTGTCTAAAATGACTTTATTTCGAATGAAACCTTAGCATCAATGTTATCCTTTTGAGTGTTTATCACCTCTAAAGTAGCCTTGATTGAATCTTTCAGTAGCAATTGAATGCTACCTAGAATTTTAAAAATATCTATCTTGAAAGTTCCAAGGTATGAACTAACCTACACATTATAATAAAAAGAGTTAACGAAATAATTTGCATAACACAAATTAAAGAAACCATCTAGGATTACGTATAGATGTTACCTTATCAACATCTTTTCTTAATTTTTTTATTTGTTTTACAATATCTTTCTTGTCATCTTTTCCAATTGTCTGCTTATGTCCGGATGGAGATGGAGAATCTGTCGGATGCTCGGACTTTGTTTCATCTTCTACAAGGATGTATTCAACTTTATCTGGCAAATTCATTCTTGAAAGCTCTTCTGGTGCTTCAATTATGTTGGTGAACTGAGTGAAAAAAATGTGAGAGACCTACTCATAATATGTATTAGTTCTGTAGATAATTTGTATTAAATTGTGTGGGTAGAAGTGAAAAAATATTTACCTTGATCCATGATTGTTTGATCGTTCTATCTTCGAATGTAGATAACCATATTCTATCCTTACTAGCTGTCCAGTTAAGTATGCGGGGATTGAATTAGCAACCCTTGTATCTATATCCGTATTTACCGTAGAGCAACACTCATACAACCATATTTGCATAGCTAGTGCAAAACCTCGAATGAGATAAAAATGCACAGAAGGGTTGAGCTTGTGCCTAACGGACTCAAGAAAATGTGTATAAGATTGGATAACCCATGTGTAGTTCGCATACTGCCCCGAGTCCACCAAGTAGAACCTAAAATGGTCTATCAAACCTGAATTCTCTTTGTCGGAAGGACAAATGAAGAATTCTATGAGATAGAGAATACACAGCTTGACTGCATCCTCATCGTTCACCCAACTACGGCTGGTTACAATTTGTTTCAAGAATGACCTCTCAACTTTTTCCTTGTTCGGGAAATATCTCCTCATTATTTTACTGTCATAATTGGTTGTGTAACCAAAGTCCGTCACTTGTGTACGTAAAACATCTAAGACCACTAATCAGGGCAAACTCTCTCAACCTAAAATTCAACCTCTCACCCCTTATCTCTGTTGTAAAAAAGTCGAAACCAGATGCATTCAATTCATACTTCATGAGAAGGTGAATTGCTTGATTTTGGATACATATTTTGGGCAAGGAAAGAAAATACCCAAAACATGTCTTCTTAAAAAGCTTCAACCCATTTTCAGACAGTAAATCCTTGATTTGTCCAGGAATAGTAGGGTCGCATAATGTCTGGAACCTGGTGATGCCATAATCAAAATCATGTGGTGCAAGAAATTTTCGATTTTGCAGCAAAAGAAATAGCAAGTTTGTATGCAGTAAAATCGGAGGGTCCAATATTCGGCCATTACGACGCTTCGTAAGAACGTCAGCCAAAGGCTCGAGGCTACGGTCGAGATTTATGATCGAGGGGCTTGAGACAATACAGGTTGACAGCTATGAAGAAAAACGGGAAGTTCCCAAGGCGCATGACTAGGGTTGACAACGCCTAGTAGGCTGGTTCAGACCCGTATCCTAGCATTAATTAGCTGTATCAATCTCGTATCTTTGTAACTAATGAATTTGTACTATGTGGGGATTCCCCCTGATATATAAGGGGGATCCTTGTCACTTTGAGAAAAGATCTGATACTCAATATTCAATACAAGAACATTCTCTCTGCTCTCTAACTTAACATATTGTCTTGGTCTTATTGCTTCATCTATTACTTACATTTAGTGTGTTCCATTTATTGTTCTTCATTTATTGCTTATTATTGGCCATAAAGAGCCGCCATTGATTTTATCATAACTATTATTCGCTCATCGACTGCCCCGGGCAGAACATCAGACTCGACCTCGAGGCCCCAAATAGGCAAGCTCGATGCCCCGATTTTTAACCAATTAGTTTGGTTACCACCTTGCTCTCAAGCTCTTATCTCATTTTCTAATCTATTACTTAGCTTCTATTGCCTGAACAACTAGCATAAAAATAGATCGCTTTTTAGAACCACAAAATTAAATCTAATTGTAATCACCATTTTCAAGGTAAACAGTTTGGCGCCCACCGTGGGGCTAAAAATAATAGTGATTATTTTCATGCTGGTTTGCTGCTTAACGCAAGTTATCTTTCACATTTTTTCTTGTCCAAGATCTTTGATTTCAGGTCAAAATGTCTAACTCAGTAAACGCACGTGAAAATAACAATCTTGAAGACCATGGAGAAAATAGTGTTGACGTCCCAGGTGTTGGTGTACCACCACGAAACCCTGAGGATGCACCAGAACCAATTCCCGTGGACGTGGTCTCGCGCAAAGCTCAACACGTCAAAATAAGCTCCCACACCAACAGGAGCATACACCAAGAAGATCAACAGAAAGCTCAGAAAACCCCGGCTCAGAAAG